TGTGTGTGTGTGTGTGTGTGTGTGTGTGTGTGTGTGTGTGTGTGTGTTTTCTGTCTTTTTCTTTGTTTATAAAGTCCACAACATCAGTTCTCAGGTCTGAAATCGACATCTCACTCTGTCATCTACTATCTCGACTAAATGACAAAGTTGGCAGAATCAATTAAAATACACTACATTCATTATTTATACAGACACATTATCATGAAGAAGCTGAATGTTGTCAATTCTTCATTTTTGTATCTGACAGGACTACCCAGAGGATGAGCTCTTGCTGGTTTTTGACAGGGACTTGATCTATGGCCAGAGCTTCTACCTAGTTCTGACCCCCGACGCTAAGGAAAGAATCTTAAACGTAGGTCGACGTAGTTTTGGTTTGGGTAACAAGGTTTACTTTCTCCTTTTGTTCTTACTCACATTCTGTCCACTACTTGGTCTTTGAAGTGTGGTGCAGTAACACTACACTAACTAAATATGTAAATGTGACTAATTATGAGAATACATGTGCCAGTCATTTAGCATGCAGTGTGGCACCAGTATTTTGTTTAAATTTTATTCTGGTTCAATCCTGTCGGCAGGAATGTTCACTATTGTTTACTTTCCTTTTATATTCGAGGTATGTACACTATTTTATCAGTCACGCTATCAGTAATGGCTCACTGTGACTGTGTGGGCCGATTTCATGTTTAACAATAAAAAAAAGTCTTACTTATCTTCCACTTTTGTGTGTTTCATGTTCTTTATATTGGATCATCTTGTAATGCTCTCCAGGTTGTGCAGTCACCACAGCCTGAGACACCAGAAGTCATTAAAACCCCAGAACCAAAGCCAGAACCAAAGCCATCTCTTAGCAGTGAGCAGGAAATAGATGAAGAATCTGTCAAGGAGTCCAGAGAAAAGGTGCTGCAGTATATAACATCACATTTGCACATGACATCTGGATGTTCACCCTTGTCCTTTCATTAAACCTCTCTTTTCTGTCTGTTTTCTCATCAGCTGTGCTTCAAGTTCAGAATGAGGAGGAAGTTTGGGGCACCAGTCTGTTTTTCTGATTCCGTCACACAAGTCACAGAGTATATTCCTTCCGACCAAGACCGCAGACTCGGCATCAAACTGATGCAGAGGGACTGCGGGACTCAGGCTGTTTCCAGACTGCAAAGCAGCAGTGCTCAGACACAGTGGTATGCCAGCAAATCAGTACACAGAAAACTGACTTGTTCCATGGGGGGGGGGGGGGGGACATCTCTTTATTATTTTAATAGTAACTCCACCTGCACAAACCTATTGTAAAGTTATTTGTCCACTTTACAGGACGTTGTCGAGGAATATGTCTACCCAGTACACGCCAAGAGAGTTGAGTTCTGAAGAAAAAGACAACATCCTCCAGTCTGACAGTATGAAGGATTTCTGCAAGTCAGTGACCCCAAGGTAAGATGACATATTCCTGAAATTCATGGTGTCTTCTGTCTGCTGTCTAAGGGTGTATAATGAAGACCAATAGTCAACACAAACTCGTAAATTCCTGTATCAGCCTCAGGGTTCTCAAACCCATCCATTATTACACCTGTGGGAGCATTAGAATATTCCAAAACAATACCTTTAGAAGGCATTCACCTTGTCAATGTGCTAGATTTTGAGATGTTATAGTTTCCTTCACAGCCCAGACTTTGGGTCTCAAATGAAAGTTTAAATTATACGTTGTAATCTTACACTCCACCCTCAACCCTCCTTTGTGTCCAGGTAAGCACTAAGGAGTATTAGAAAACTTCATACTGTAGCTATGAAGAGAGTTGATGGATGAAAACAAAACATAATGCACAGGTTTTGCCAGATTTGACATAGTTATATTTAGTTTGTTTTTTGCAGAATGTTGTACGCCCTTCAGCAGGAAGGAATCATGAATGTGTTCTTTGATGACTGGAAGGCTCTGGGGACAGCAGCTAACGACATTGACTGGTCTGGGAAGGATTTCAAAGGTTTGAAGCTTCATAAGGCCTTCTCAGACCAGCACTACACCAAGGACAAGAAAATCAGCAGCGTCAATTGGCACCCTACCATCATCTACGGTAAAGTGACAAAATCTCAGTCAGAGGAAAGTTTTGTCCAGAAGATTTGTAGACATTTTCTCACACAAAAATATTCACCAAAATACTTTATAGCATTAACTCCCTCAATACTTAGCCAGTAATGGTTTTAAATGTCTATCTGGTAGAAAACTGTTGACAAAGATAGTGTTGATGGACAATGTTGGCAACAAATACAACAAAAATAAATGACATTCATTCTCTCTGCAATCTGTCACTGACAAGTATTTCAATTTGACATTCCATCCATTGTAAAAGCATTCATCTTCTTTACCGCTGCTTTGTAATGTTGCTAAGCTGTCATCACCCACAGAGTAGGCTTCCAGCAAGATCGAGAATTATAATATCAGTGTCACAACCGTGATCACTGTGAACATGCGTATGTTATTCAAAGGGGGATCAGAGTTAAATCCAGTAAAGTTAAACCCTACTTAATCTTCAGCTGATACATTGTGTGATGTGTTTATTTGATGTGATAGGTGTGATCGCTGTGGCTTTGACAGAAAAAAGGCAGGAGCAGGAGTCCACAACGTTTGGATCCGAAGATTCTCTCATTCTCTTTTACAGCTTCTCCGACCCCTCTAATGCCCAGGTATGGATACATATAGAAGCATTTGGGACCGCCTGAGTGAATGTGGAGAGTGTACAAGCTGGAAAACAGATTGAAAAGACCATATTTCTATGTCTCTCATCGACAGCACACAAGCTCATTTTCACCTCATATCTGTTTGAGACACACTTTGATTTCATGGCTGAAAGGGTTTGCTTACTCCTGTCATTTAAGTCTTTTATTTGCTTTAGCAACATTTGAGAGGCTCTATTGATTTGACGGAGGAGCTAAATCAATGAAACTGAGCTGCTAAACCACTCAAAAGTAATATGAGTTCTGCATGACGTATGCCTTCACTGGTGCATGCGTCATGCTTTGGTTTCACTGTCTGCTGGAGCAGTGATCAAAGGGGCAAAGGGTACTGTGTAGAGGAAACCAGAGACGTCACATAGTTTAAATAAAGAGATTTATTTAGTGTGGGGAGTAAAGTGCTGTAGTTCAGTGTTGCAGCTCATTTTAAACTCCAGGAGATTTAAACATGATGCCGAAAAATGACTTCTCTGTAATACCATGCTGCCCCTCCTGGGTCTTTTTTCCCCTTATGCCTGATGAAATGGAATCTACTGTATACTGTATACACTTGGGGTTTTGTGGATTAAAAGCTGAACTTTGAATGGCGAGACTAGAATAAATAAATATTCAGGATGGCAGGCACCCAAAACATGGAAATGTCTACTTTGAAATGTAATATTTCTGCCCTGTGTACGTGGGTTTCTGTGTTGTTTGCAGTTGCTGCTGGAGTGCCCAGATGACATTTTTGCCTTTGAGTTTTGCCCTTCTGATCCAAATATTATCGTTGGCGGCTGCAAGAATGGCCAGGTGCTGACTTTGACTCGGCTCTGCATCTCTGGTTTGCTGCATCTGCTGCCTTTTCTGCCTCGTAGTCACTTTTCCATGCCCCTCTTTTCATTATAAGGGAAGATTATTAAATCGATGTCCTGTACAATTCCAATGAAATGTTTCTTCTGTTGCTGTTTTCTCAGGTCGTGTTTTGGGACAGTTCTGCTCACGTCACACACTTACAGGGAACACAACCTGTTAAGAAGGTCTCTGTTAACACAGACACATATGTAAGTACCCATATCCTTTCTCTAATGTGCACAATGTTGATACACTAACACATGGTGTTCTGTATCTGAGTTGGTGTATTACATGTTGTATCAGTCACCGTAACTCTTTGGCTAGTAATGATGTCAGCTTGGTTTATTCAAGTACGGATCTTCAGTGTATCAAAGCATGCAGCATATTTGCTGTATGACAGAGTGAGACGATGACATGTTGACTCCTGAGTTCTCCCCTCATCCTCACTCTTTCATTAGATGGGAATGAAGTGGCCTAATGGTCCTTTTCAAGCCAGCCACAGCTGTCAAAACTAGTTCCACAAACGTACAAATGCCAGGAGTGAATCTCAAAGAAGGTTCTACCATTCAGTGACTCCTCTGCTAAACAGAAAGAGCCTAGAAGGCCTCGGCAAACACCACAGTCGGGTTGAAGTGACCTGGCTTGAACTTGAAAGAGGGCTTCTCTTGTGGCTTAACATCATAGTAAACTAATATTGTCACGGCCTAGCTGCCCTGTTTACATGGCATTATGTGGAATAATAAAGAGAGGGAGTTAATGATACGTGACAACAAACACATAAACTCCTTCATAGCCTGTTGAGACATCCACAGACCAAATATTAAAGCAGTTCTGTCGCTTAAAGCCTGACCTCCACTGACATCTTCCGCTTGGCGGCTGTATTTAAATAGACATACAGTATATGCCCTCATCATATAGCCCCCATTTGCTTTGTGTGTTTTTATTGCCTCTACAGTGGAACAGATGTCTCCATCCCTGTCCTCACTACTTCCTTCTCTTTTGCTTTTCCCTCTAGCACCCTCCGTACCTTTCTCTATTCTCTTTGTCCTTGTTTGCTCTTCATTCCCCAGAGTCAACAGCATCAGCTACTCCAGCTGTTACACAAGCCTTCCATCCTCCACCATAGTTTGTCCACATAGAAGATAACACACGAGCAAATCAGATCACTCCCCTCCCTTGTGTTTGTAATGTAAACATTGGCAGTTGTATCTGCGAAAAGGCTTTCTTTGGATGTTGAGTGCTGTGAAAGCTGCCCTACACCAGCACCTGTTGCTAGCTTATCAGATGAACAAAGAATTAAAATCCTCCTTTATAGATTTCTGTTCTGTTCACACCCTTTAAATCTGCAGGTGCACAGCAGTGTCATTGAAAGGAATCTTTCCACATTCTGTGCATGTTTCAAGATCCAAGGCACAATCTTTGAACTTCTGTGTCGCAGAATACATCCTTTGATAAAGTTTACTTAATTTGAATATCATGCTGGAGCGTTTTAGGATGGCTGTTCACCACTGTATGAAGTCTTGATATTTAGATTGAATTGTCAAAGCTCACTGTACTCACTGTACATGCTGTGCCTTTTGTGTCTCACCTCCCACCAGGACCTCTATTACAAGAAAGAGAATAAGACTCCTGCTGTGCCCTACTGTGCCGTGTCTGCCATAGACAGCAGCCACAAAGCACCAATTACTGATGTCCACTGGCTGCCACCAACATTTGAGGTACACAGAGCTGAAGGCCAGAGGGGTTGGAAGGAGGACATTAAATAGTCAGAACACTGATCATGTAAAGAGTTAATTGACCATCAGGAGTGCATTAGGGAGGTGCTGGAACCTTCTTCTGATCACTATTTCATTTGGCCTATCTTGATTCGTAAAAGGTGTTTTGTGTGACTACACAGAAAAACATTCGTTAATGTTTTCTTTATCTCAAGCCTCTTTTATCATATCTAAAGTCAACAATGTGGCATACTTACGGCAACTAGAGTACATTTTAATCCTTCACATCTAAGCTCCAAATTGATAACAAAACATTAAACACGTAAAATGTCAAGTATCTTATTGCTGTAATGATTTCTATATCTAGTTCTGGAATATTGACAGATATTTGATCTGGTTAAAAGCCACTTGAGTGTAAATAAGTCTGACAGGAGGTAATAGTGGAAGTAGTCAGGGCAGAGAAAAGACTATGGAGGCTATAATGTAACATACTGAGGATATAATGATAGAAATTGCACGGTTCAACAGGAAGGTATGGAAGGTTAACACTGTTCCACTGCCACAACATATTGCTTATTGATTTGTGTCACACTGTTTTTTTTTTAATCTGCAGAACTGCTGCGAGCTTTATTGTGGCCCTGCATCTCAAAATGTATTGACCCGAAGTGATATTTGCTGCAGTGACACTATAGTGTTTGATCTGTAACCCAGCATTACGTATAGTGATAACTGTGAAAGATAATGGTAGACGCCATAAAAAAATACAGTAACATTAAACTATGGTCACACACAGATTCACTACATTGTAACAGTCCACAGAACCTAAGCATGTGGCTTAGTGTTTCTAAAATCTTCTTCCTAATGAAATAATAAATACATTATGATTCTGGTGTCCCACTGGTGCGTAACCCCCGCGTCTATACAGCCAGTTGTAATGAATCACGACTACCACTGGTACTCATCTGAATAAGTGTAATAAGACAATCATCAATGTGCACCCGAGCATATTTTCCATTATCATTAGCTCTTTACTAAGCTTGACAGACATTTGTTGATTTTGCGACTCACTCTCTCATTAAGGTGACCAAGACGGGCTTACCAGTGGAGAACAAGGACAACATTTCTGCTCAGATTGTCACCTGCTCCCCTGACTGGTAGGTCTTACAGAAAATAATAAATGAATGAAATGATTGCAGGTCAGATGACAGGTCCCACTAGAGTCTTTCTCTCTGTACTGTGCACTGCTTGCAGTTATTGGCAGCTGCCACATTCAGAGAAGATGCTGCTTTACACCTTTAGTTAGAGAATGAGAAAGCCTACAGGTCTACAACAGAGTCTGTGTCAGTCAATATTCACGTTGTGTGTGTTTAATTATAAACAAAAGGATCAATGACTATGTTCATTTTTCATTTGTCTCCCTCTGAAGTGCTCTAATGGTCTGGGATGTGCGAGTGCCACACAGGAGGCAGAATGTGGATCAGAGGACACCCGACGGTGTCCCCGACACTTTCAAACACCTGGACCACATATGGAAGCCTCTGTTCAGGGTACTGCAGAGATTAAGGGTGCAATACAAAATGAATGTCGAGGGTCAAATCTAAAAGTTAAGCTGGATGCACATTGTGATAGTATGCAAACCAAATGGCCATTGTGTTCAGTAGACAAACGTTACGTCCACCAATATTTTAACATGTTAAAGCGTGATGATGAAGCCTCTAACATTTATTTATCAGATTTATGTAGATGTCGGATTACACAGGCATTTTAAAACAGTGTTAATTAAAACTTTCAAATCCTGTATTTTTGGAAGAAACGCAATTAACTTCGATTAACTCTTCACTTCCCTTCTTTACATTTTTAAGAAATCCAATCACATTTCAGATCAGGTTTTTTTATGAATGCTTTGAGTTTATTTGATTCCCCAAAGTGCAACATTTTAAACCACAATGACATCATTTTTTACTTGATTTTAAAAGCTCTGTGTATGTGTATGTTTATTTATGTACAGATTTCTATGTATTCAAATTGGGCTCATTGAATGTATTTAGGTGTGCTTGCTCATAGTCCTTACATTTATTTCATATTATGTTGTGTCTCTGTCAGTATCTTCAAATGTCAAAAGTTGTCTTCTTCTCTGCCATGTGTCAGGTTTCCCTGCCAAAGATTGATACCAGTGGAGTATACGCTCCTCTGAAATTCAGCCTGGCTAATACAGCCAGGACCACAGGTGAGGGATTGTACCCTTCAGGCTGGTTGGTTGGTTGGTTTGTTCCCGTCTGTTGCACTGCCTCGCCCGTCTACAATCAGTAGCATTACTCAATTACAATCATTTCTACAGTACATACTGTCAGGTGTTATTGTTGGATGCAAAGCACCTCTTAAAGGTGAGTTGTAATAACTCACTCAATCACCTTTCCAAAAAAAGGACAAAAAAAGCAAAACTCAGAATGAAAAACACAAAATTTCAAACCTACACAAATGTGCACTTACAGTAGCGATAAAATATCTAAAAAGCTGCATCGGTCCTTTCTTGCCATGTCAGAGTTGCAGAAGCTATTACTTTTCTTACCTTTAGATGGCACACAGGGCTGCTATGCCTGTTTTGGCATGCCTTGCATGAGCAGTCATATTTTTCAGATGAGAGGAAAGCATGTTCTGTGAAGGTAAAGATGTACTGGATTCTGAATCTTTGTGCATTAAATAAAGCGAGTAGGCCAAACATTGAACATTACAAATATAAACATCCAATGTCTAATAGTTGTCTGGCTGAAGGTCTGCCTTTATAAACACAGCTTTGGTGGCTGGCGGTTATAGATATATGTTCACTAACTGAGGCAATAAATCTGTTGCAGCCCTCAGGCAGTCTGTTATTAAGCTTTTAATTAATCCCTGTGTGATTAATACTAAGCTACTTCAAATAATTGACTCATATTTATTGAGTCTAGACTGTCTGCCTCTGAGCCCTATATTCAGCAGGTTTGTTCTTTGCCTTTTGTTGTCCCTGATGCTGAAGTCCCTTGCACTTACAGCAGTAGCCTCTGTAGAAGAAGCTGCACCCTGCGCTTTCAACAGTACCACATGGTTTTTTTCCCCTCGTGGAGATTAAGCAACAGTTGAGCAGCAGTGCAGTGTGGTGAAAGTGAAACAATGTCTACATCTGTTGCTGTGCGGTGTCGTCTGTCTCACATCTTTACACACATCTCAACTGGGGGAAAGTGGATTTGGAAGATGTGTGATTGGGTAATCTGATCTGACCTTCAAGAGCTAATCTAACAGAGTGAAGCTGAGCCTTGATTGGGAGCGGCCCGCTGATAAGGGGGTGTGGACGGATAGTCCTGTACTGTCCCTGACAGACAGTTGGGCTTTTGTGATGGAAAAGGCTTCTTCCATCACTACCAGTCCTGCTGATCTCACCCCTCCCACCCTTCTCCCTTACTGTCTCCCTTCTTGCCACAATCCTCACTCCCACCTCCACCTCCTTTGTCTCCCGCTCCCCTCTTACCAACCCATTCACCTCAGCCATACCCCTCCCCACCTCCTCCTCTTCTGTCTCCATCGTCTTGTTCATGGTCAGATTACAGAGCAGGCTGCACCAATCTCTCTTGTTTCCCTTTACTTTAAATATATGTTTTTAATGTTCCTTGTCTTTCTGTGCCTATTGTTCATTCCCTCATGGTTGTGTTTTCCTTTGGTTTGGGATTATCTTTCCTTGCAAACAACACCCAGACTTACTTACACTCTCCACTGACAGAAGCAGCTGATGATGGCAGCTCAAAGGTCGTCCCAGACTTCAGACAGCTCAGAGTGCCCTCAGCTAAGACAGTCACTGCTCTGGAAGATGTCAATACCAAACTCTTCATTGGAACAGAGGTAAACAAAACTAATAAAGATATTTAAAAAAAGAAAGGTGTACCGTTTTAACATGTTCCATGATGTGTCTGTTCTCACTTCCAGTTAGGGGAGATGATTTACACCGACTGGAAACTGGTAAAAGACGACGCTGGAGGGCTGCACAGTGAGTATTCTGCTTTACCATTATTAAAGTCAGTTTAAAGAAGCATAAGCTCGTTAACTGTAAATCATGTATCATTGGCTTTCTTTGAAACGGACCAGAATGTGTTGTTTTTATTAGTTTAATATTATCAACAATAGTAATTGTATCCTCAAAGTCTTGAGCCAAATGAAGCAATTGTCAATAATAGATTTAATCCTAGAAACAAGTCTGCACCAATTATAAAAGTTATTTAAATAGACTACTGTAAGGCAACTCTTTGGTTTGGCAGCCAATGTGAATGTAATCACCGTGGACGTAGAGAGCACAGAGGGTTGATTGCTCCTTGTATTGCATTGCCCTGTTGCTTCTGTGGGAGTAAATTACTGTCAAATATAAAGTGTGCCTTCTATTTCTGTCTCTCCTCTCTCTCAGGTGCCAAGCCCCTCCACTGCTTCAGCATCCATCACTGGCTGGTGAATACGGTACAGCTGTCGCCCTTCTTCAAAGACATCGTTTTGACAACAGGAAGCTGGAACTTTGCCATCTGGAAGGAGGGAGTCATGGTAACGACACCTGTCACTTAAATTACCATAGCAGACAATGCAACCAGTAAAAAGCACGCCCACATACTCGGTTGAATTATAACGAAAATGGAATAAACACCAAATATCAAAGTTATCCTAGACTTTAAACATAATCAGTGCCACATAGCACAATAAAATGCATAATATAAAACATATATCAGACCAGAATTGTTGCATTTTAAATCCATTGACTCTGTTTGACGTCTTGCACTACGACATCCAGGATGGCCCCATCATTGAGTCACCAAGGTTTGAGAAGTGGTGCACTGCGGGATGCTGGTCCCTGTCCCGACCCGCTATTTTCTTCATTGGGAAAGAGGATGGCAGCATTGAGGTGTGGAACCTTCTAGAAAACACCAATGAACCTGCGCAGGTCCACACACTCGTCACCAACGCCAAGATTACCTGCATCAAACCCTGGACAGCCTCCCGTGAGTTCTTGGCCTCTTTGGTGCACAGTCGAGTATAACATACATGTATGTGTGGCTCCCTTAAAAATGCATTACTTCTTTTATTATGTTTTCATTCTAACGTTTGGGTCTCACAGCCAAAGCACAAAGGTTTGCCTGAATGAGAAATACATGGAAGTAAGCCTGTGAACTAGTTGAGGCATTAAACCTGAGTGTGCTGGATATATCATTCATACTTTATTTGTTTGTATTATTATAGGTTAGAGCCATTTAAAGTGCTTTACAGGTGGCAAGCTGATAATAACTGAAAACAGTAAAACAAGTTGAGACTAAATTACTGTAATGATAAAACCAATAAAATAGATATAATACATCTTTACACAATAATACAAATACATAAAAAATATTATAGGCAGTAAAACAATAAAAAACATTAATAGAATGTAACATATTAAAGACGGCCATAAAACATTATATTATACTCTCTGGTGCAGAAACTCTCTTGCTGCTACTCAGATATGGACTGGGCCTTCCTCTCTGTCTGTTTTATTTATATTTCTTCTATAAGTTCCTTGTTGTAAGATTTCTTTGAACCATGAAGCTCATTTACTGGACATTGTTTGTACATACAGCCAAGCAGCACTTCCTGGCTGTGACTGATGAACTTGGAATGCTCCGTGTTTTGGAAATCCCAAAGCCAGTCTGTGTTCCCTCCTGGAATGAGGTAAGACAGTCCAACCACCTACTTATGAGATTATGAGTTGTCTACTTATTATTTTGCAAAAATAAATAATAATGTACCCTTGGTCAAGGTTAAAAAGTAGGTAACATATCCAACACTGCAGCATGCCAACACAAGTTTTATTTAAGTTTCTGTTTGCTGCTTTATTACATTGATATTAAGCTAGTACAAAATGGTTCAGGGGTACCAAACCTCCAGCGTTGTCACAGTAATTGTGATTATGGGCTATTGTGTTATTAGTCATGAGCTTGTTTAACGGAAGCCTGCTAACAAGTGCCTTTCTCTTTTGTCTGTATGCAGAGTCTGAGGGTGAAGAAATTCTTTGAGGTTGCGGAAGAGAGGTTGAAGGATCTTGTGAGGTGTAGGGAACTGTGGGGAAAATGAGCCGAAGAAAGCTGAAGAACCAAAGAAGAAAGTGGTGAGCTGACTGTAGAAAGAATGAACAGGCTTTGAGCTCTCCCAACCATCAATATTGGCAATTAAAGTGGCCTTGAATGAGACCTTGTGTCCTCTGCTACACTCACTGACAGCCACTTGTCTTACCAAACAGTCTGAATGTTTTATTTTTATTGCCCCAGTTAAAAGTGTGTTCACCAGTCTCTCTCTCTCTCTCTCTCTCTCTCTCTCTCTCTCTCTCTCTCTCTCTCTCTCTCTCTCTCTCTCTCTCTTTCTCTGTCTCTGTCTCTCTCTCTCTCTCTCTCTCTCTTTCTCTGTCTCTCTCTCTCTCTCTCTTTCTCTCTCTCTGTCTCTCTCT